TACTGGTTTCTCCCCTTTTATTTGTACTGAAAACTTCTATTTTTTCCACAACAATAACTCGGCAATTTGGGCATTGGGGAAGGGGGAATTCAGGCTCTAAAGTCAGAAATATGATTCTTTTACTTTTTTTGAGACAGGTTCTCATTATGTAGTTCTAGCTGACCTGGAACTTGCTATGTAGATCAGGTTGGCCTTGAACTCACAGAGATCCGCCTGCCTCTGCCTTCCAGGTGCTGGGATTCAAGGCATGCAATACCACAACCAATGATTTATTTTATTATTTTAGACAAGATCTTCCTATGTAGCCTAGTCTGGCCTTGAATTTGCAATACTCCTGCTTAAGCCTCCCAAGTGCTGGGATTACAAACTTCTGCTATGTGACTTAAAAAAAATTTTTTTTAATTGAATTTTTGTGTATTTCATACAGAAAATCATCTTTCTACCCTCTTCCCCTTTGGCACCTCCCATAGCCCCGCCGCCCCCCGAGTTCATACATTCTGTCATTTGTGTTAAGGCCTATCATGTAAAGTTAGTGTCCCCAGATGCCCCTCAATGCGAGTTCATCCACTGGGGTTTAGTCAGTCTGTCTAGAGTCCCTCCCTTTAAGAAGATCAGCTCTTCATTACTCAGCAGTAATCAGCTGCCAATAATTCTTCAACTAAGATTGGAGCCCTGCAGTTCATTTCCACAGCTCTGTTCTGGGTTTTTGTCTGCCTAAGTTTGCGCGGGTCTTGTGCATGCTGACACCGTTGCTGTAGGTTTGTATGAGAAGGGTCCCTGGCACCTGTAGAACTATTTCCATATGGTCATGCACCTCCTCCTTGGCTCTTACAATCTTTCCACCCCCTCTTCCACAGTGGTCCCTGAGCCCTGGGTGAGTGGATTTTAATATGGAAGTCCTGTCCAAGGACCCATGTTCTGCAAAGTCTTATTCTCTGTGTTTTGATCATTTGTGACCTTTTGTGTTCCTGGCCCTCTGTTGCATGAGGGAGCTTCATTGATGAGAGCTGAAAGATGCATTAGTGTTCTCTTCATCCCTTGTTCTATGTTCCATGAGCCTTAGGTGTAGAGGTTGCATCCTAGATGTGCCACTTAGGCTTGGGAAATTCACAATCTGTGACTTTTTAAAACTTTTCTTTTATTTATTAAGCCTCTTAACCCAGTAAGACTCAGTGAGGCACTGTATATCTGAGTAATCAGGGTTTCTCAACATTTGTGGCCTAGCACTTCTCTGTGGGGCTGTCCCATGCCTTATAAATTGTTTAGCAGTGCCCCTAGTTCTGTCCATCAGAGGCCAGGAGCACCATTCTGCCTGTGGCAACCAAAACTGCCTCTAAACACCATTGAATGCCCTTTGGGAAAAGGTGGGAACAAGATGCCTGGCATTGAGAGCTACTCCCGTGAGCCTTTGCTGTGCTGATTAGCCCAGGGTATCTGATTTGTGAGGTGGAAGCTGGCCGGGTTGGGCTGGGCTTTGGCTGCTCCAGCAGATGCCTTTTCACAAAGCAGCAGATGGAAGGTTTATCACCTCCATAATGAGACTCTCATGGTAAGTGAGCAATGTGGGTCGAGATTCACATTTAAGTTTTGGAAAATCTGCAGTAGTGCATTCTCTGGAAATCCTTCCAGCTGGTATTCTGTTGAGGACTGTCAAAGGTGACATTGGGCTTATCAACCTTGAATTGATGGAATACTTTCCCTGTCTGAATGCCAGACCACTGAATGTACTTTGCAGGAAAATGAGAAAGTACAGAAACAGGAAGTACGAACAGGAAACTTACCCATTGTCATGGTTAATCTTGTGTGCCCACTTGATTGGGCCACTAGATGTCCAGATAGCTGATTCAAAATGGTTTTTGGGTGTGCCCAAGAGTCTGGGAGGGTGTTTCCAGAAGCGACAGCAGCTTCAAGTTGGCCTGGAACTCATGATCCTCCTGCTTCTATCTCCCTCTTGAGTTCTGGGTGACAGTGTGTTGGGTGGCAGGTGTGTGCCATGTCCAGCAAAAGATGAGTATGTGACTCAGTGGACTGGGCAGAGCAGACGGTCCTCCCAATGCCGGTGGGTATCACCTGAACCATAAGGCTGAGGAAGGTAGGATTTGTTCTCTCTCTGCCTGCTTTTTGTTTGTTTGTTGTTTTTGAGACAAGAGCTCTTGTAACCCAGGTTGGCTATGTAAACTTGCTATATAGCCAAAGCTCTGCTTGAACTCCTGATCCTCTGGCCTCCAACTCCTATTACAGGTTTGGGCCACCACACTAGGCTTCTCTCTGCTTGTCTGAGCCAAAGTCTCAGTTTTCTCCTACCCTGGAAGCTCCTGGTCTCAGGCCTTATCACTTGAATCTACTCCATTTGCTCTCTGGCTCTCAAGAAGGAACTATACTACTGGCCTTTCTGAGTCTCTAAGAAGGTAAATGGCAGATGTGTGGCTTGTCAGTCTCCAAAATCAAACTATAAAAATATCTATCATCTACCTACCTACCTACCTACCTACCTATAAAAACCTATCATGTTTATCATCTATCATATCCATATATCTACCTATCATTTACGTATCTCATCCATCATCTATCTATCCATCTATCATCTATCTATCTATCTATCATCTATCTATCTATCTATCATCTAATCTATCATCTATCAATTATCTATCATCTATATCTATCATTTATCTATCAATCATCTATCTATCATTGGTCTATCTTATTCATTTTGTTTCTTTGTGGAACCCTGGATAATAGGCCCATATGTCTAGCTCTATCGCTCAGATATAATTCCCAGTATTCTGTGTTTTTGTAAAAATGAGATGCACGGTTTTTTTTTTGTCTTTTTGAGACAGGGTCTCCCTGTAGCCCCAGCTGTCCTGGAACTCACTATGTAGACCAGGCTGGCCTTGAACTCACAGAGATCCTCCTGCCTCTGCCTCCCGAGTGCTGGGATTAAAGGCATGTGCCACCACACCTAGCCCAGATGCACTCTTTTAAAAAATATTTTATTATTTTTATTTTATGTGTGCGTATTGCCTGCATATATGTAAGTGCACCCGTGTCATGCAATGCCCACAGAGGTCAGAAGAGGGCATCGAATCCCCTGGAACTGGAGCTACGGACAGTTGTTAGCTGCCATGTGGGTGCTGGGATTTGAACCCAGGTCTTCTCCAAGAATATTCAGTGTTCTTAATCACTGAGCCATCTCTCCAGCCCCAAGATGCACTCTTTTCTGACCCATCCTTTTAATCTATTGGCACATCTGGAAGATCTTTATACACCATTAAATAACAAATATTTCTCCACAAAATCTGTTTTGATTTTCCTGCTTAAGAAACTTCTATGACTTCTGGTAGCCTGGGAATAGCCTCCTTCATAAAGACAGGAGGCTGAGACTGTATTCCATGTTCCTATTGGGCCTCAGCTATTTCCAGGAGTTATGGACACATGAAGACCAGAGACATTGACTTCATGAAGCGATGAGCAGAAGTTGGGTACTGGAGGCCATTTTTGCCTCCAGGATGAGGTACAGATGTTCTTACCTATTCCTCATACCCTCCCACATGCAGCCTCAGCCTGTTTCTCTGATTGAGACTCTTGTTGAGAACACTGGAATGTGTTTACCCGTCTTCTCTTTTTGCATTACAAGGATGTTTCCATGGCTAACCATACTTTGATAAATGTCTTCATACATACACAGTAGAGCCTCACTATTTATGAGCTCCACATATGTGAACTCACATGCTAAGGTTCATGTGCTGGGAGTTTGGATTCTGGCATGACTGTGCTGGGACTTGATGTAAACTTAAAGTGGGGGTGGTATCTAGAGCCAAGTAATTAGTCATGGGAGCATTGCCTTTGGAGGGATTAATACTAGTGTCTGAGTGAATTAGTTCTCATGAGAGCGAGTTAGAATGCTATATCTAGTGAAAATATTCTTCATTAATAGAGAGCAACTGAAGCAGTTTCAGATGAAGGAAAACAAGAATATGTAACCAGCAGACATCTGAAAGAATAGCTGAAAACATAAAGGAAATAACATAGATGGAACGCTGGACCCTTAAGGGGAAAGAACATGATGATAAAGTCCACAGAGAAGGGGCTGGTGACATGGTTCAGTAGGTAAAGGTGCTTGCTGCCCAGCCTGATGATCTGAGTCTGATTATGGGAATCCATAATGTGGAAGGAGAGAACCAACTCCTGCAAGTCATCCTCTGACTTCTACACTTGCACACGGGACATGTTCCCCCATAATAATAATAATGAAAAAAAATGATCTCAAGTAAGGTGTGGGGGTACTGACCTGGAATCCCTGACTACTCAAAGGCCTGAGGCAGAAATTCAAGGACAGCTTAGGCGGTGCAGTATGATCTTGTTTCTCTTTTCTTTTCTTTTCTTTTTTCTTTTCTTTTCTTTTCCTTCTTTTCTTCTTTCTTTCTCTCTTTTTCTTTCTTATTTATTATTGTTTGTGCACGTGTGCACCTGTGTGTGCAGATGTGCCCAGAGGTCAGAAGACACCCTCAGGTGTCATTCCTCAGGAGCCACCCATCTTTGTTTTTTCAACAGTGTCTTTCACTGGCCTAAAACTCTGCAGGTAGGCTAGGCTAGCTGGCCAGCAAGCCCCAGGGATCTGCCTGACTCTGCTTCCCCAGTGCTGGGATTTTAAGATTACATTACCAAATTGGCTTTTTAAAAAATAATGTTTTATTTATTATTTTTATTTTATGTGAATGAGTGTATTATCTGCATGTATATAAGTGCACTTGTGTCATTCAATGGCCTTGGAGATCAGAAGAAGGTGTTGGATCCCCTGAAACTGGAGTTACAGATGGTTGTTAACTGCTGTGTGGAGGCCAGTACTCATAACCGTCTCTCCAGCCCCCAGCATTTGTTTTTTACATTGATTCTGGGACTGGAACTACAGTCCTTGAGCTTACAAGGTAAGTTCTTTATTGATTGAGCTAGTTCCTCTGCCAGGGGCCCTGTTTCTTTTTTTTCCTTTTTTTTTTTTTCATGAAGGAAGAGCATGAATATAGTAATACAGTTCCTTAATACAACAAATTATGCAGTAAAGTTTTGTGTATTTAGGGAAATCATAGGACTCAGCACATCTGGTGTGCAGTGGGTACGCCTCACCTGGGGTAGTCACCTTCTTGATCGGGGTATCTCCCCTGCCCTGTTAAGTATGGATCTTTCTCTCTCTCTTTCTTTCTTTCTTTCTTTCTTTCTTTCTTTCTTTCTTTCTTTCTTTCTTTCTTTCTTTCTTTCTTTCTTTCTTTCTTTTGAGATCCTTTTGAGGATCTTATTAGAACGCACAGACATCCACTTACCTCTGCTTTCTCCCAAGAGCTAGAATTAAAGAGGAAGATTTCAACACCGTTCTCTCAAAAACTGATAGAGCAATGGGATAGAAAATCAGCAAGGGCACAGAGGGACTCGACCACACCATCAACCAACTATCAACAAACAAAACCATCAACCAACAAAACAATTTAAAATTTTAATTAGTTAATTAGAGATAAGACTTTGATATGCCCCCCCTCCCCTGACAGTCTCCAAACTACAGTCCTGCACACTCAGCCTCTAGGTGCTGGAGCTGTCTGTGCACACTACTGCACCTGCCTTCAACCAAGAGAATCTGACTGATGTTTATAGACCATTCTATGGAACAAAGTAGAATACACGGCCGGGCGTGGTGGCGCACGTCTTTAATCCCAGCACTTGGGAAGCAGAGGCAGATGGATCTTTGTGAGTTCAAGGCCAGCCTGGTTCAAAAAAGGAGAGTTCAAAAAAAAAAAAAAAGTAGAATACTCTTTATTTTCAAGTGTCCATACACCAAGATACATTACACAATGGGCCATAAAACAAGTTTTAACAAATTCCACAGAGTTAAAATCATACAGATATCCCTGGTCACAATGAAATCAAATTAAAACTCAGTATCAGAGTGTTAACAGGATAATCTTTAAACACTTGGAAATTAAACTATAAAAATAATTATGTTATCCATAGATCAAGGTGAAATCTCAAAGGAAATACATTAAACTAGAGTTGAGGAGATGGCTCAGTGAGTAAGAGTCCTCGCTGTGCAAGCATGAAGACCCACGTGTAAGACTCCAGCACTCATGGAAAAAGCTGGGCATGGCTGCATGAGCCTATAATCTCCACATTGTGGAGTGGAGCGAGGCAGCTTCTGAGCTCTCACTGGCCAACCAGCCTGGCCAAAAAAGTGAGTTTCTATTCAGTGAAAAACTCTGTCTCAAGGCATTAAGGCAGATATTAATAGAGGAAGAAAACCTATTACCTGATCTGGCCTCTGCATGCACACACTCATGTGCATGCTCCATACACACAAACACACATATACCACATAACACACATAACATACCAGATAACATTAAATTGAACTAAAATGACAGCCAAATACCTAAAAAAGCTGGAGCATGCAATTAAAGTGCTGAGAGGAATGAGATCACATAGGACTAAATACTTATATTATAAATACTTACATCTAAATTCTTAGGTCTCACTGGATCTAAGCTCCTACTTAAGAATATGGACTAAGGGGCTGGAGAGATGGTTCAGTGGTTAAGAGCATTGGTTGTTCTTGCAGAGGATCTGGGTTTGGCTTCCTACGCCTACATGACCTACATGGCAGCTAACAACTGTCTGTAATTCCAGTTCCAGGGGATCTGATGCCCTCCTCTGACCTCCATGGGCATTACATGACACAGACGCACTTACATACATGCAGGTCATACACTAATACACATAAAATAAAAATAAATGAAAAATAGTTATAAAGACAAATATAGAAAAATAAGAGAAAAATAAACCTATAGCAGTGGTAGAACACTCATCCAGCATGCACAAGGCTCTAGGTTCAATATCCACTGTCTCAATAAAATAGTCAAAGCAAAAGGAATGAAGGAGACAATAAAGACAAAAGCACAAATTAATGAAACTGGGCTGGAGCAATGGCTCAGTGGTTAAGAGCACTAGCTGCTCTTGCAGAGGACCCAGGTTTGATTCCCAGCACCCGCATGGCAGCTACAAACCGTCTTTAACTCCAGTTCCAGAGGGAATCCGATGCCCTCTTTTGTCCTCTGCGGCATTGCACAGCATGGGTGCACTCACATACATGCAGGCAATACACTCATACACATAAAATTTTTAAAATTAAAAAAAGAGTACTAGCTGCTCTTGCAGAGGACCTAGGTTCAAATCTTAGCACCCACATGGCAGTTAATCATTCATGACTCCAGTTCCAGGGGATCCAATGCCCTCTTCTGTCCTCTGTGGGCACTGCACAACACAGGTGCACTTACATACATGTAGGCATAGCACTCATACACATAAAATTAAAATAAATAAATAAAATTTAAAAGCAAATTAATGAAATTGATGACAGAACAACAATTGAGGAAAGCAGTGAAACAAAGGGGTTTGTGGAGAAGGTCAGTGAACTGGTAAACCTCTCTTCAAGACACATCAAGAAAGAAAAGGAAGACATAAAGGTCTAATATCAAGAAGGAAAGAGGGGCATCACTACAGATCCCAAAGGCATAAAAAGATGATAGGGGAAATCCTACAAACAACTATAAACACATAAATTAGGTCTCAGGTGAAATGGACAACATCTAGTACAACTCACCCAATATGGAACACATCATTTTAATAGCTGTCCAGCCATTAAGGAAGTTGAACATGCAATTTCATGGCTCCTGGAAAGATATTATTAGGTCTGGGTAGTTTCAGTGGAGAATCTACTAAACAGGAATGAAGCTCTGTGTTAGAGTGCTTGCTTAGCCTGTTAAAGACCCTGGATACTGAAAAAAAAAAAAGGATACCATTTATATAATTTCTTCTAGAAAATAGAACAGGAGGAAATGTAGCCTACCTGATTTCATTATTCTAGCGTCAACCTTGATATTAAATTAGTCAGACATTGGAGCTGGAGCGATGGATTAGCAGCTAAGAGCACTTGCTAGCTCTTGAAAAAGTCCCAAGTTCAGGTCCCAGCACCCACATGGTGCAACAGAACCTCCTGTAACTCCGGTTCCAGGGGAATCTGACGCCCTTCTCTGGCCTCCTCACATACCGCAAGAATGTAGTACATACAGACAGGTTGGCACACATACATGCACATAACTTTAAAATATTTTTTGCTGCGTGTTATGGTGTACACATTTAACCCCAGCACTCAGGAGGCAGGTGGATCTCTGTGAGTTCAAGGCTAGCCTGGTCTATACAGCAAGTTCTGGGCCAGCCAGAGATACATAGTGAGATCCTGTCTCAAAATTTTTTAAAATTAGTTAGACAAAGAGTACAAAAGGGGGACTACATACCAAAATCCTGATTAACTATAAAATAAAAGTGCTTATCAATAAATTAGCAAGTAGAATTGAGCAATATGTAAAAAGAGTTATACAACTTGATCAAGTCGGTTTATTTTGAGGGTGAAAGCCTGGCTCAGAAGTAAAAAAAAAAAAAAAGACTGTAACTGTCAGGAGGCTGAGAAAGCCTGGGCTGCATAGGAAAAACATCACAACTTCCAGGCCAGCCTGGGCTATGTAGTGAGAGCCTACCTTAAAAAAAAAAAATCAGCCAGCTATGGTGGTACATACCTTAAATCCCAGCACTCAGGAGGCCGAGGCAGGATAATTGATACAAGTTTGAGGTCAGCCTTGTCAGCATAGTGAGCTCCCCACCAACCAAGGCTACACAATGAGATCCCCATTTCAACTCTTCCCACTAAAAATTCTAAAAGTGTATAAACACCTAAATAAGAAAAAAGTCACAGGGTTATTTAATTTAATGAAGAAAAAGTATTTGATGAAATTCAGCACCAGTCACAATACAAACTCTCATAAACAGGAATAAAGGGGAACCTCCTTGACTTGACAAAGAGTAACTATAAAAACAAAACAGAACAAAACTAGCAAAAACCCTGATAGGTGACATTGCACTTAATAATGAAAGACCGAATGATTCTTCTGTATGGTCAGGAACAAGGCAAGGATGTTTATTTTTACTAATTATTGAACAATTGCTAGAGATACTAACAAGTTAAAAAAAGAAAGAAAAGGGAGTCAAAACCAGGCATGGTGGTTTATACCTATAAACTCAGTACTCAGGAGACTGAGGCAGAATGATGGTAAGTTAAAAGTCGGCCTTAGCTATACAGTGAGTTCAAGGCCAGCCTGAGCTACATAGTGAGATCCTATGTCAAAGATCAAACACACACATGTGAGCACAAAAGAGAAAAAGAAAAAAGAAAATGGAATGAGAAACAAGGAGGGAAAAAATTAAAATTGTCTCAACTTGCAGGTTATATTATTGTTTACCCAGAAAATCCCAAGGTACATGCAAAGCATCTTCTAGTACTGATAAATGAGTTTAGTTAAGGCCACAGGATATAAGCTATGCATACAAAAATCAATCACATTTTAATATGCTAACAAACTCACAGGCACTGAAATTAAAAATACAGTGCCAATTACAATTGCTCAAAAAATTACTTATTTGTAAAATGTAGCAAAACATGCACAGGAATCATACTGAAAACTGCTAAATACAATGAAAGAAATCAAAGACTTAAACACATACAGAAACCTACTATGGCCACAGACTGGAAGGCAGTAGATAAAGTTCTGTTTCTTCCCACATTGGTATAATAATTCTGTTTTACTAAGATGCTAAATATTGGGCTGGAGAGATGGCTCAGCAGTTAAGAACACTGGTTGTTCTTGCAGAAGACCCAGGTTCGAATCCCACCACCACATGGCAGCTGACAACTGTCCGTAACTCCAGTTCCAGGAAATCCAACATCCTCTTATGTCCTCCTTGGGCATTGCAAGACATGGGTGCACTTACATACATGCAGGCAATACATTCATACACATAAAATAAAAATAGTAAATAAAATGTTTATTAAAATGCTAAATATACAACTACCACACAACCAGCAATTGCACTCTTGGGTATATTTCATAAAGAAATGAAGATGCTTATGTTCACAAAATCCTGTATGTGAATGCTTATAATGCTTATAACATTCTCCTGTGGAACACTACTCAGTGATGATAAAGAACGCATTGTTCACACATGCAACGACCTGCATGTACATCCAGGGGATTTATCCTGAGTAAAAAAGACCAATACTTATAAGTTATGCACTATATAATTCCATTTCTAGAATATTTTTGGAAGGACAAAATTGTAGAAATGTAGAACAGATGAGTGGTGGCCAGTGGTTAAAGGAGTAGGACGTAGGATGAAAGTAGGTGTAGTTAAATGTTACAGAAGAGATCCTTGTGAGGATGGACACATGTTGTGTCTTTGTAACAATTTCTATTTATTTACTTTTATTTGCATGCAGGTATGTATGTAAGTGCACAATGTGCCCACAATGCTTGTGAGGCCGAAAGAGGGCATCTGACCCCCTGGAACTGGAGTTATGGACAGTAGTTAGCTGCAAGAGTAGCTGCAGGTCCTCTGCAAGAGTAGCCAGTGCTCTTAACCTCTGAACTATCTCTCCAGTTCAGATATTTTGTATCTTGACTACCTCAATGCCAGCACCAGCCTTGTGATACTGTATTACAGTTTCACAAGACTCTTACCTTTGGGGAAACCAGGTAAAGGTGACATGTGATCTCTTTGTAGTCCTTCTTACATTTATAAGTGATTCTATAGCCAGGCATGGTGGTGCATACCTTTAATCCTAGCACTTGGAAGGCAGAGGCAGGTAGATCTCTGAGTTCAAGGCCAACCTGGTCTACATAGTGAGTACCAGGACAGCTGGGGCTACAGGGAGACCCTAAATCTTTCAAATTAAAAAAAAATTAATGAAAAAAGTTATCTAGGACTGAGGGAGGATATAGCTCAGGGATAGAACGCATAGTTAGTATGGGGCTCAATCCCCAACATGGGGAAAAGGAAAGAAAAGCATCCTGCGTGTAGTTCAGTCAGTCAATTACTCAGTACTTTTCCTGCTCTCATTTTGCAGAATGAAATATTCAAAGCAGAGAGAATCAGGATTTATCAAGGCAGGGTGAATTTTAATATTCTTCAAGCTTTTTCATCTTCTATCAGTCAATTAGAGAACTTGCCCACTGAGATGACTCTAGTCTCTCATCTCTTTAATATTATTATTATTTATTAATGCTTTCATGGACTAATTCATCAGCTTCTAGTTGCCCTGGCAACCTAAGACTCATGTCCCCATTTGGTACAGAAAAGCGATTTGCTAAGCAGTCTCTGGATGCAGAGACTTGCTTCATACATGTGTTGGCTCCTGCCTATGTGGGGGTTGGAATCACTCCTATCTTTTCTGATCATTAAGCTCCTCTCTATCTAGCATCTGCCACTTCAGGAACCACCAGCTTTTGAGAGCAGGGAAACTCTCTTTAATACAACATCCTACCAGACCTGAATCCCTTCATGTAGCGCCAGCTCGGACAGACTGAAGGTTTCTTCCAGGCCCACAGAGGGGTTGCTATAGACTGAATAGTGAGGTGGTGGAGTTCTCTCTTAGCAAAGGCTTATGCAGTTTTCCTGCTGTTCCTGGGAGGAGCAGCTAGCTGGCCACATGTGGGGCAGATGTGGAGGGAGGTGATGAGGTGGCACTGCTTCTGGCTCTGGATGCTTCCTATGCAAGTTTCCTCCTCCGACTCAGGGATAAAACCAGGAACTGAAACAGGCAGCAGGGAGGAAAGTCCTTGAGACTTCTTTACCTCAGCAGATTCCAAGGGTGTATCTGAGGGAGGGAGGTGTCCTTGGAAACCTAATTTCATCATTTAAAGAACTAGGAAAGGGCTAGGGGGATAGATCAAGAGGTAAAATGCTTGGGCATGTGGACCGAGTTTCAATCCACAATACCTGCCTAAAAAGCTAGGGGTGGTGAGGTATACCTGGAGCCCCAATGCTAGTGATATGGCAACAAGTAGATTCTCCAGAGCTAAATTGCCAGCCAGTCCAGCCAAAACCTGTTGAGCTCCAAGTTCACTGTTGAGCCTCAAAAAATAAGGTGGAGAGTGACAGAGGAAGACACAGTGCTGTCCTTAGGGCCTTCACACACACACACACACACACACACACACACACACACACACACACCTGTGCACATAGAGACACACCAGACAAGGGGTAGGGAAGGAGAAGGAGAAAGGGGAGGAGGAAGGAGAGAGAGAGGGAGAGAGCTGAGACCCAGGGTTAGCTCCACAGTGCCTCAAACAAAGAGAAAAAGAATGTTCAAACTCTTAAATCTTCCAAATCACTTCCTGAAGTAAGCATTTCAGGATCTTTATTATACAGAGGAGAAAAAAAGGGGCTCAGAGATGAAGGGAGTGGGGTTGGGGAGTTGACTCAGTAGGTAAGAGCACTTGCTGTGCATGTATTAGGATGGAGATGGCTGGCCTTCCCTGTATCCCCAGTGCTGTAGGGTATGGACAGAAGAAGATCTCTGGGACTTGCTCAAGGCTGCCAGCCTAATTCCAGGTTCAGTGAGAGATCCTATCTCAGGGGAAGAAGACAGAGAGTGATAGAGAAGGACATCAAATATCCTCATGTGACTTCTGCATGCTCAACTGCACACACAGGTGCACATACACCACAAACACATACAGCAGCAATAACAACAACAAAGAGATGAAGGGAAGTGACTTGTCTAATGTCTGTTACACAATGACCAAGTTCAGTCTGAATTTAAACCTGTCTGTCAAAATCCAAAGTCCAGGGTTTTTCTGTTCTGCCCTGCTGCCACGGAGGCAGTTTGATGTAATGACTAACTAGCTAAGAGTGCAATTAGACGGATGTGGATTCTACCTGGTCCATGCTGGGTGACCTTGAGCAACTTAGCTTTTCTGAGTCTTTTTTTCTTTACCTTTATAGTTGGAAATTGAGAGTTCTTTATTTTTTAAAAAAAAATTTATCATTTTTATTTTATGTGTATGAGTGTATTGCCTGCATGTATAGGAGTGCACCCATGTCGCGCAATGCTGCGAAGGTCAGAAGAGGGCTTTGGATTCCCCTGGAACTGGAGTTAAGGACAGTTTGTAGCCGCCATGTGGGTGCTGGGAATCGAACCCGGGTTCTCTGCAAGAGCAGCCAGTACTCAACTGCTGAGCCATCTCTCCAGCCCTGAGAGTTCTTTATATGGCCATAGGGTTGTTGAGAGAATTTCTGACAATTCTGTACTGTCAGGTACTCAGTGCCTGCTGCATGCAAATGGGTAAAAGATATCCATTTCCAAAGGCTCAGCCAGTTTACCCAGGTTGTCAGTTTCATTTTAAAGCACCTTTGCCATCTTCATTTCCCCAGCTCCCTCAGACTTGCAACCCATGCCCTTGTTTAATTAAATATAAGGATCACAAGGGCGACTGCTTTATCCTCATTACCATATGCCAGTAACTGCAACTGGCACTTTACCACCTTATCCTAATTAAGTGATGAGAGTGGCAATTCTGGCTGAGTGTGAGTTGCTGAGTCCTTCCTGCTAGCAACAACTGCTTAAGGCAAAACAAAACCCATCCTTCCATACTGTTGAATCACATCAGTGGCAGCAACCTGTGCCATCTGTTTGTCACAAGCCAGGCTCTAAGTGCATGACCAACATGAGCCATGGAACACCTTGGAGACGGACTGTTATTAACCCCATTGCACAGATAAATCAAACATTGGGACTGGAGAGATGGCTCAGCAGTTAAGAGCAGCTGGGTTCAGTTCCCAGCACCCACATGAGGTAGCTCATTATCAGTCACCTCCTTCTGACCTACCCAGGCACTGCACCCACATGGTGTACATAATACACACACACACACACATTAAATAAATACATAAATCTTAAAATATATACATCGAGCTTTAGAGGGGGCCTGGGCCAGGCTGGGCACATGGGGCTGAGAGGATCTGGGCTGATAACGGGATAACCTCACACTCAAGATTAATAAATTGAGACCCAGGGCTGGAGAGATGGCTCAGCAGTTAAGAACACTGGCTTCTCTTGTACAGTCCCATGTTTGGTTCCCAGAACCCACATGGCAGCTAACAACCATCTGTAACTCCAGTTCCATAAGATCTGACACTCCTTTGGCATCTGAGGGCATTGCACTCATGTGGTGCATTTACATACACGCACACCAAACATACACATAAAATAAAAATAAATTAATTTTTTGAAAAAGAAATTGAGAGCTAAAGAAATGGGAGAACTGCCCCTAGGTCACCTTGATAGCGGCCGAGCTAGGACTGGACTTCCGGTACCTGGTCTTTTTGAGGGGCTTTGGCCAGGGAAGAGAAGGGAGGAAGCTCGGAATCTTCACTTCCTCACCTGAGTCCATTACGGGCTCTCTTTGGTAGGGTGTGGGGCTACACGGGAATGGCCCAGACCGAGGGGCCAACCTGTACTGGGAATGTGGTTAGGGACAGTAGGAGGAGGGCTAGAGTCCCCCGTGTCTGCGATGAGAGCTAGCTATGAGAGCCAGACAGAGAGGGCTTAGGAAACCAGAGGAGGGGATTCTAGAATTCGGGGCGGGGCTTGCAGGTGACCTGAGCCTGCAGTGGGCGGGGCCCATGATGCGGCAAATAGAATTATTATGGGTTCCTGGGCGGGACTTCTGGAAATCCGAGCGGGGATTTGTGGCACTGACGAGCTAGATCTAAAGAACTGGGAGGGGAGCAAGGTTTTAGGGAGCTGCGGGGCTGGCTCATGTCTTGGAGGGGCATTAAGCGAGGCGCAGACGAGTTGAAGTTCCATTAGGAGGCTCTGGAGAAACGTGGTCATGCAGAAGGAAGAAGGTCAGGGGGAGGAGCTCTAAGAACCCCCGCTCAGGTTCCAAGGAGCACTGGGCGTGGCTCAGAGGCTCATGTGGGCGTGGCCACACGGCCATTCAAGTGTCTGTAGAACCGGGCGTGGGCTCGGGCACCGCCTTCCTCTGCGTCTCCCTGCAGCGCTCCGCAACACCACAGAGGGCGCTCTAGGGAGCAGTGCCTGGAACGCGCGGTGGGAAGCCCGCAGCCCCCTCCCGGAAGTGGGCGTGGCCCTACGCGGCTCGGCTGCGCTGGTTGGGCGCGGCGCGGCTCAGGGGGCGGGGCCTGCGCGAGGCAGCCTGGGCGGTGGCGGCGGCCCGCGCCCCTCCCCCGCGCGGCGGTCAGTGCCAGGCGGGAGGCAGCAGCGGTTGGAAGCTTCGCCCGGCTTTGCAGCTGGGACTTCGGCGGCGGCGGCGGCGGCGGCAGCGGCGCCTCAGGCACCTGGACCCTGGTGAGCGGCGCGCGGTCGGTGGGGAGGTTCCGGACCTGCGGGTTCCGCGTGTGCCGGCGCCGGCTGACAGGAGAGGGGGTGGGCTGCGGGACGCGCGCGGTGCCTGGGCGCTGCGGCAGGAGGATTGCGATGTGCGGGGAGCCAGGGACCGAAATGGGGCCTGGGGGCCGCGAGGCGGGCCGGGGCTGAGGCGGGCTGGGGGTTCAGGCGCGGCCTGGGGCGGGGTGCGGAGCCGGGGCCGGGCCGCACGCCTCACGTGGGGTCGGGACTTGCTGGGCCCGGCGTGTGGACCGCGAGCGCTGCTGCCCGGCTGGGGTCCGTCTGACTTGGGGTGCACGTCCCTTCTAGATCCTGACGATCTGGGTTGGAGGGCAGGCAGAGCGGGGCGGGGATGAAGCTTGGAGTAATGTGGCTGGAAGAGGAGGAACCCTGCAGGGGTCGGGGGGATCGGGGGCGCGGGACGTGGGTGATGCCGAGGTGTGCTTCCCCGGTACCCGGGAAGCTGGCAAGGGACGCAGGAAAAAGGAGCGCGGTGCAGGTGGGGCTCCACTGCGCGGAGATAGCCAGGATGACATCAGATGTTAGGGTGGGAAAGCAGCTCTCCCGCCTGTTCCCCCCCGCCCCCCATCGGCGCACGCTCTCCAGATCTCCAATTATCTGAATGTGATGGGGGAAGCAGCCGGCTGCGGCGGATAGTCGAGAAGAAAGGGGCTTCCTCTTGGAGGGAGGTGCCAGCCCTGCCGGCCTTTTTTGGGAGTGTTCAAAGGGTTTTACTTGCTGGAAAAGGAAATGTAGGCTTTACTACATCGTGGTTTAGAATCACATCCTATATTTGGCTTAATGTAGGCTGCCCTTGTTTTGTGGTGTCTGAAGAGCTTGCTTTACACGTTGCAAACGTGGGTTTCAGGGCGAGAAGCAAATTTCAAGTTGTTCATCTTTTCCAGGATAGCAAGATGCTAAGCTTTTCTTATAAGGCATTCAAAAAAGAATAGACTACAATGCATGTTTATATGCAGTGGCACATATATTTGCTTCGGAAATAGTTATCCCACAATATTGTACCCTCTTACCACAGCTTTCCTACCTGGGGTTATATTCTAACACAGTATTTACCGGGCTCTTAGTCATTCTATAAAAATGCAAGACATTGTCCTCGTCTGGCAGAACTCTGACACCCAGGCCTGGTAGAATAAGCCAAAACATGATTAAGTACAAGCAGTTGCTTCCTAATGTCTAATGTCTGCTCAGTTGTGAAGGCAGATAGGTGGGCTGCTTTATAGTAATTCCCTTGTACAGTCCCCTTGAAGCTGGAGATGGCGAAACCCTATTTTGGACTTGGTTCTGCACATGTCAGAAGACTAACTTAGGAAATTTGGGGGTGGGGGCATGCCGTGGACGTTTGGTTTGGAGGTGTATTTCATACTTACTTTTGGATAGAAAGCCTGACTGTCAACACTGGATCTGGGAGGTCACATACATAATTCCAGCACTTGGGAGGCAGGTGGATCTCTGTCAGTTCAAGGCCAGCCTGGTCTACATAGTGAGTTCTAGGACAGCTGGGGCTACAGGGAGACCCTGTCTCAAAAAGACCAAAAAAAAAAAGTTAATACTTCTGTCACTTCTGGGATCCACTCACAACTGTGTGGAGAGTCACTCTAATGCTTATATAAGTGCAGTGTTAAGTGATACGTTATTAGTCCTTAGCTCTATCCATGAGAATGTGGAAGATTCAATTCTTTATGGAGGCAGAATATTTATTTAATATTTTGATATGTCATACACTGGTGTTGTAGAAACATACTAATTGAACTATTTGACCTCTTTTGGGCAGAGCAGTACTAAATCTGAGCACTCCTTTCGTATTCAGGGTACAGACTTGTGAGAAAAGCTCTTGGGCCCCATCTTCATTTGATGACTTCCCTGTGTCAGCCTGTCTCTGAGTTACCAAAACATTTCTGGCCAGTGTGTCTTTTTAAACTAAAGATGCCTTCTCTATATTAAAACATGGAATTCTTCATGAATATTTCAATATGACCTAGTACCTAGAATGTTAAGTGATGGAATCTCTCTGGGTTTTGGTTGCCCTAGTTCAGGGTCTTAAAGTTGTGTACTTCTTCCTTAGTGCCTACCTAGAGCTTTGACAGTGCATTATGGAGCTTTGTTTTATAGCAGCTCTATTGAGATATAATTCACAGATCATGCAGTATGACTCATTTAAGGCATAAAATTCACTGGGTTTTAGTATATTCACAGAGTTGCACAGCCATTGACCACCACAGTTAATTTTAGAACATTTTCATCCTTCCAAGGAAGAAACCCTATAGTCATTAGCAGTTTTGTATCACATTCTCCCTCCCCAGTCCTAGCAACCACTAGTCTACCCCTGTATGGATTTGCCTATGTTAAACATGTAAATAAAATTGTTCAATATGTGATCTTTTCTATCTAGCTTCTTTTTTAAAAAAAATTTTATTTATTATTTTTATTTTACCTGTGTGAGTGTATTGCCTGCACATGTGTAAGTGCACCTGTGTCTTGCAATGCCTGCAGAGGTCAGAAGAGGGCGTTGGATCCCCTGAAACTGGAGTTAGGAACAGTTGTTAGCTGCCATGGGTGCTGGGAATCAAACCCAGGTCCTCTGCAAGAGCAGCCAGTGCTCTTAACTGCTGAGCCATCTCTCCAGCCCCATATCTAGCTTCTTTTATTTAGCATATTTTAAGAATAATGTATGCTGTCGTATATATAGTACACCATTTTTCTTTATGGTTGAATTATATTTCATTGTATGGATATACCATATTTCTAAAATCCATTTATTGGTTGATGGGCATTTGGGTGTTTATCTTTTGCGTAATACAAGTAAATCTTTTGTGATCAAGTACAAGTTTGTGTATGAACATATGGTTTCATTTCTCTTGAATATTGACCTGGGAATGAAATTGCTGGGGCATCTAGTAAGCTTATATTTAACTGTTTGGAGGATCTGCTAGACTGTTTTCCAAAGAGGCTGCACAATTTTATATTTTCACCCACAGTGTGTGATGGTTTCAGTTTCTTTGTTTTTCACCAACCCTTGTTAGATTCGCTGACTTTTTGATTCTGTCCTCTCCTAGTGAGTGTATAGTGTATTTTGTGAGTTTCATTTACGTTTTCCTAGTGGCTGGCGATATCAAGCATTGTTTCATGTTTTGTTGCATGCCTTCTTTAGAGAAATTATCTATTAAATGCTTTGCTTATTTTAAGAAATAGATTGTAGGCCGGGTGTGGTGGCACACGCCTGTAATCCCAGCACTCTGGAGGCAGAGGCAGGTGGATCTCTGTGAGTTCAAGGCTAGCCTGGTCTACTTAGTGAGTTCCAGGACAGCTGGGGCTACAGAGAGACCCTGCTTCAAAAAGAGCCACCTCCCCCCCAAATAGACTGTATTGTGTTTTACTTTTAAATGCTATTTAAGAACCCCTTAGTTATGATTTATAATTTTTCCCATTTGTGAGTTACTTTGATTTTTCTTGATTGTATCCATTAGAGCACAAAAATTTAAATTTTAATGCTGTGCAGTTTAAGTAATAGTCTTAAACTTTAGAAATGTCTTACTTAGACCTTAAATCACATCCTCATCTGTCTGCCTGCCTATCTGGATTTCAAAAAATATTTTACTATTTTTATTTTATGTTTTGGTTGTTAGCCTTAGCTTTTAACAGCTGAACTATCCTTCCAGCCCACTCTTTTTATCTTATGTGTATGAATGTATTGACTGCATGTATATAAGTGCATCAGTGTTGTACAGTGCCCTTGGAGGTCAAAAGAGGGCATTGGATCCCTAAGACTGAAGTTACAGATGATTGTTAGCCACCATGTGGGTGCTGGAAATTGAACCCATGTCCTGTGGAAGAGCAATCAGTGCTCTTAACTGCTGAGCCATCTCTCCAGCCTCTGTTTTTTTTTTTTAAGCAGAGCCTCACTCTGTAGCCCAGGCTGGCCTCAAACTCACATCAGTCTTCCTACTTCTTCCTCCTAAGTGCATAAACCACCATGCTAGGCTCTCGTCTTTTAGTTATATAAGTTAAAAGCCAAATGTGAGAGGGTTAGGGAATAGTTTGAATAGTTCACTTTGAGATGAGCTGTAGATCAGAAAGAGTTAACTAGGGACCATGTCACTTGCCTGTTCAAATCTTGTAATGCCCACTCCACCATCCCTTCTCCATGGAATAAAGTTCAAGAGTTTTAAAAAAAAATGTTATTTGATTTATTATTATTATTATTATTATTGTGTGTGTGTGATATTTCCATATGTGAGCATTCGTGTCACAACACACATGTGAGGTCAAAAGACAGCTTCTACATGGGTTCTGGGCCTTCAGCTCAGGTTGGCAGACTTGTGTGGCAAGTATCTGCAACCACTGAACTATCTTGCCAGCCCCAGACTTCTTATGTGATTGTTGAAGTAGTTTCTGGTGGTAGCTGCTTTTTCTTGCCCTGTTGTCCTACCTGAGTCTTCTCCAACTCCGCTGACTTTCTCAGTCCTTCTTGTCCCTTGGGATTCGTGTCATGAGCTTTTACTCCTTGAAAACCCTTTCACACTGCAGCATTGTTCCTGCCTTGGCACATACATCATAATCTATCACTGCTGTCTGCTACAAGGACTGGACCTGAATTTGACAGCTGTCTTCCGAGGGAAGAAGGCAGCATGCAAGAGAGGGCCCCATGGAAGGCAGACTGAGATTCTGCTGTTCATAGCTTAGTCACCAGTGCCTCTTGAGGATTTACTGGGTGATAATTTACTGAAGTTAACTGGGATGAGTCTGAAAACAGTTTTTTGATCACTAACATCTTTATTATGTTATTAAGGAACACCAAGGATGGGTGATTCCCTTCTTCCTTCTCGTGTGTAAGTCAGCCTCTTACTCTGAAAGTGCTTAGATGTAAAACTGAATGCTTAAGATATTTTCCTGAGGGCAGAGCATACTTGTCTAGCTTTTTTCCCTCTGGTGAACAGTAATGA